ACAAATTCTTCTTGTCCTCCCAGTTCAGTTCACATATTACCTCAGCCATGCAGGAACTCCTCATAAGAGAGCCACTGGTTACCAAGGCAGGGCTCTTCTTCCAGTTTTTGATTATTCTTTCATCCAACCATGAAATCTGTCTATCTGTCCCATAGTTCTTTACTGAATCATATGTAATTGGGCTTGTGCCAGGCTCTGGGATGTAAGATGACTTGACTTGTGAGCTCACAGCTTACTGGGGAAGACAGACCAGTAGCCAGGTAATGACAATACAGTGTTTTAGTGCATCTGCCGAAGCATGAGCACACACACAAGCTTGCAATAAATGTAGGTATGTTGGGGAAGCTTTATGAAGGCAGGAGAGACATTTATCTTGAAGGATAAGTAGGCATTTTGCAGGCAGCAAGGCAAGTATGAAGTCTAGATCTCCCTTGGTAGGATTTAGACCCTGAAGCAAATCTTCATTTGTTCACTCTGCCTCTCACTCTGGAGAAATCAAGTTAAAAATGAACTCATGTTAAATGTATATGTGTGTATATATTTCAATTTTTTTGACAGGAAATATGAGGTCTCTGAATCAGAGAAAAGATAATTTATTACTCACAGACCATCTTCTTACCAATTCCCTGCATCCCTATCTCTTTAGATAATGTGCAGTAGGGTTGCACCACAAGAGATGAGCATGAAACCATGAGACTCGGAGCTTATATAGATATGGCAGCTGGCACATGAGTCCATTTCCGCTTCCTCCACCCCCTCCTCCTCCTCCTTTTCCTGAGAGAGAAACCTTTATTCTGGAATGTAAATAAATCCTCTCTGGGGAGACGGGGAGCAGTCTCTACTTTTCCTTTTCTACCCTGTAATATAAGTACATGGCCTCAGATACTACACTTGATCTTAACCAACAGGCCTGAGAAGTGATAAGCAAATGGCTTCAGGAAGAAATAAGTCCCTAAAGCTCCCAGGGGCAATATACTATCTCTAACTTCTGAGATATGTTTTTTATTTAATCTTCCTTCAGCCAAGTATGTCAGTGCTCTGTGCTCAGAAAAGGAAAAAAAGGGGTCCTTCTCATCTCTGGGATAAAGCAGTAGAGGCAGTGGGTTGTTGGCAGTGGTGATGTTCAAGGAAGTGTTGTCTTGAAAAATATGGCAGGCAGAGGCCCAGAGCACTCCAGGGGTAGCTTGTGATGCTTTGGTGCCATTGCAGTTGTGACTCTTTCCTAAAAAAGCAAGCATGGTCTCACTTGACTTTGTGAAGTGCTTCTGTCAGTGATGAGTTAGGTGTTTGAGCCCTGAGGTGCAGCGGCAGAGAGCAGGAGATAGAGCTGACTGGACATCGGCTGGGTTGGTGGAGAGAGACTCTCAGGTCAGGGAACTGGAAGGTGGGGTCCTCTGACTTTGATGCATCAAAGTCACGGTTACCCTGGAGTGTTTCTGGGAAAGCCCCTGCTGGAGACTATGATTCTACTGGGTCATTGGAGAACAGTGAAAGGTGAAAACATTGGGCTTTAGAATCAGCCAGATGTGAGTTCACATCTCAGTTCTGTCACTCAGTAGCTGTGTGTCTTAATTTGTCTTCACCACAAAGCAGATATTAGACAAGGATTGGGTACAATTAGTCTATTTGAGAAGCACAATGATAGGGTGAGGAAGTGAGATGGGAAGGGTGGAAAGCCCTGAGAGGATGAATGGGTTACTACTATGGGCAACTAGAGCTCAGTGCTCTGAAAGTCTTATGATAGACAGGGTAGGATGCACTTCAGTAGCGTCCCACCAAGAGATAAGGAAGCTAGCGTTTTTATCTACCAACTCCTGGCTCTCAGTTGCAGGTCACTCTTGGGGGCATCTCTGGTGAGCCCACATGCTCTTGTAGCTGGAAAATGCTCTCAGGCAGAGTGATGCCATTGGTGTGCTTCTGGGAACTGTCTGCAGGTGACCTCCAGGATGAAGTGAGGGGCTATGGGCAAGATACTAATTATGTGATCTAATCTGTCTTCATGTCTCCAAAATGGAAATCATAAAACTTAACTACACTGAATTGGTGGGAAGAGTAAGAGCATCAGAGTTCATAAAATGCCTCTCATAGTTCTTGAAGCATAGTTGATACTCAATAAATGATAGCTTTAGTAGCATTAAGTTAACATGACAGAACATTGGCTTTTCCGTTGTAGCTGACTTAAGACTTGTTTCTATCACGGTAAGTTGTGTTAGAGAGGACAGTTTTCTGGGGTCAGAAGGGGCAATCTGTGGTTTTAGGAATAGAGATTTCCATTGAGTGAAGCTACCCATTTGCATGGAGACAGAATCTATTCCTTATAAGCATTATAAAACCAACTAACTAGCCTAATAAGATATAATTATTGTTTTCCCAGTATTAAAGCTTTTGCCAGTGGCTTGTACATTTTGTTGCTTGGTAGGGAAAATAAAATTTCCACAGAACAGAATTATTTTGCTTGTAGCTATAAAGAATATTTATCAGTTAATGCTAAATCTCAGAGCGCATCCAGGTTGACATGGATGCCAAACTGGTTGTGTTTTTAACCTTTGCACTAAATCTAATTGTAGGTATTATCACATCTATGGTACAAGTCTGTATAGGCATCCCTACTAGAAGAATGTAGGGGTGAGGAAAAGGTAACAGTTAACTGCTTATGTCAAGGGAATGGGGTGGATGGACTTGGAAGGTCTATGAAAAATAAGGGAGCTTGGTGAACAGGATCCATCATGAATGGAGAATTGAGTTTTATTCTTATTTTGTTTTATTTGAGGGGGAGTTGGAGTGGAGCTTAATATGGCCAGTGTTGTTCAAACTTTGAGAGGTTCTGGGGGACAAGGTGCTATGAGAAAGATTGGGTCATGTGTTGTTCTCAGTTCTACCAGAGGTGGTAGTTAGAGTCCTGGGGGCGAAAGTGCTGAGTTACTCCCAGTTGAGGCCTGCAGGGAGAGTCAGAGTGTGATTGTCCCTGTGGTGGGCATGGGCGGTCAACAACGTACCAGCCCTTCCCCCTCCTCTGTGCTAACAGGCCCTGATTTTATCTATCTACTCCTTGATCTTGGGGAAAGTGGACTGGAACCAGCAGGTGAATCATGTTTAGTGCAAGAGTTTGTTATTCCATTTGTATTTCCTAGAGTTTGGTCTCAAGTGACCTAGTCAAGTGACCTAGAAGAAGCCTGATGGTGATTTTAGGAAATATTTTCTCTGTGGTAAAAAGAAAGAGATGAAGGAGAAGAGGCCTTTCTTTCTTCCTGCTTTTGGATTGGTTAGTACTGTGGTAGCTATTATGTGATCATGAGGGGGCATCTCCGTCACACTGAGAGAATGACAGAGTGGGAAAATGGAAAAATTCTGTGTCCTTGAAGACATCACTGAGCTTCTTGTTTAACCTGATACTCCATGCATTTGGCATCTTATAGTGTGAGACTTCTATTGTTTAAACTACTTAAAATCTTTTTTTCTAATGCTTATTTATTTTTGAGAGAGAGAGACCGAGAGCAGGGGAGGTGCATAGAGAGAGGGAGACAGAGGGTCTGAAGTGGACCCTGGGCTGACAGCAGAGGGCCTGATGTGGGGCTTGAACTCGTGAACCATGAGATCATGACCTGAGCTGAAGTTGATGCTTAACCAACTGAGCCACCCAGGCACCCCTGTTTAAACCACTTTTGATGGACTATCTTGATTGACAGAGCTCTGGATAAAGCACAAGTCTGGTGGGAGGGGAGATATCAAAGACCCTGACCTTAGGAAGAAGTATCCATGGAAGAGAGGAAGAGCTGAGGCAGAACCAGGATCTCTGGAGGGAGCTCAGTCACCACTGACTAGGGCAGAGAATGGACTGGGACTCCTATTGATCAGAGGACAGCCAGTGCTCCCCACAGCTAGACGGTACATCAAAGAAGGAGCCAGACAGCAGAGGCCACTTTGGCAAGGTGTTGGGAACTGGTGCAGCCATGGCAGGCAAGCCCTACCATCCTCTCTGTGGGAGACGCAGGGGTCAGGACGAACATGGTATTACAGCTCCGGGTAGCCTGATGGTGGTGGAGGAAACAGGGGCTTTGAAGCCAAACAGATCTGGGTCCTGCCACTCACTTGGTCAGAGCTTCAGTTTGCTTCTCTGTAAAATGAGGACAATCATACCTGCCCCACTGGGTTCTTATAAACACTGGAATACATTAAAGTGAATTAACTTCTCTAGTTTGTAATATAGTGGGAGTTTATGAAAAGATAATTATTATCATTTAACAGAGACCTGCAGAGGGGATGAAGATGCTTCATAGTGTACCACTAGATGCATGGCAATAGATGCTGAGCGCGATCAGGCCAATTTGAGACTTGCTAGGTGTTGACCTACCCTGATTAGTCGTCTAAGAGAGAAGACCCTGGGCATAGAGTTTCTGGAGATCACTTCTTCTTTGTCCACAGATACATATCTGAAACAATAGACTTTCTTCATGGGGGAGAATGTTTGCAATGACATTATTTTCCCCTGAGCAGGGAGGAAGACAAAGAAGATGTGTAGTGCTGATATAAACGAGAATGTCAGTGGTAAGTGTTTTTCCAAAGTTCCCAAGGGACTGGGTAGGGACTTATCATGGGGTCTCAGACTCCTGAGAAGAGGGAGGGGGAAGACTGTAGAATGTTCCCTGCCTATCCTATCATTGACAACTTGCGTTATAAAAGCACCCGAGGTACAAATGTAATAACCAGAATCAGAGGCTTCCTGCTCACGGATATGAGGGGGAGATGGACCAAAATAGCCTCACAATACTGATAGCAGACTCTGAGAAGCCACCCCTTCTCTCCTGGAGCCCCTTGATACACACCTCTTCTAAGTAATTTCCAACCTTCTGTTGACTCACAGAAAGAAGAATTGAAGTTACTGGCGTTTGTAGTAACAGGATGAGAAAGTACGAGACTTCCTGTTGTGTGTGTGTGACAGCTGGTGATAAGTGGAGGGCTCTGCACAGGAAATCCGCTCAGCTTCTGCAATGTGACCTGCCTGAAACTTGGGTGCTCCTTCAGTCTGGATGTTGATGGCAGGACAGAGGGGCGCCTGGACCATGGGCGACGTGGTAGAGAAGAGTTTGGAAGGGCCGCTGGCACCTCCTATGGATGAGGCCTCCCAGAAAAGAGGAGACCTTGTAGAAATCTTAAATGGGGATAAGGTAAAATTCGATGACACAGGACTCTCCTTAATACTGCAGAATGGCCTGGACACCCTGCGCATGGAAAATGCTCTGACAGATGTCATCTTGTGTGTGGACATTCAGGAATTCTCCTGCCACCGCGTGGTGCTTGCCGCGGCCAGCAACTATTTCAGGTCAGCACGCCTAGGATTACAGTCAGATTGGGTTCAGGTTGTAAGGAAAATCGGTATTGATGTGATAGCCCGATCTAACTAGTTGGCTGTTGTTGCGTGTATGGTTTGTATATCTATTTAGGTTTGTGTGTTTATTCCAGATACAAGAAAGGAAGCTATTAAGCCTTATGTTTTAGATTTGTTTAAGGCATATTAAAAAAGAGATTGATGTCATTTAAAAGCAATGTTTATATATTATGGCAAATCTTCTGTATATATGTGTCATTGTTCCAGAGGATGGAAAATTACTGAAGTCACGGGGATTTTTCCCCCTTGGTCTGACTAGTGTGTTGGAAACATGATGTTGTCTTTGTTCACAAACTGAGGTAGAGAAAATGCTGTGGCCCCCCTTTTGGAGTTTTCAAATGACTTGCTGAAAATTAGGGGCATCTGGTTATGCACAAGGGGGTGGATTGGAAAAGAACGCAGTAACAAAGGTGCTTTAGCAGCGAGAGGCTCCCAGGTATATCACACCCTGAGACCTGGGTTCCATCCCGCTCTTCCCTTCCTGACAGTGAGACTTGAGGCAGGTCACTTTATGCTCTGAGTTTCTGTTTTGTTATCTTTACGCTGGGGACAATGATGATTACCTCTCTGGATTGTTGTGATAATTAAATGTGAGAGGGAAAGGGTCTTACACAGTGTCTAGGGTATAATAGATGCTCAGTATGTCTTTGTTGAAAGTCTTTACCTCATTCTGTTTGGTTCGGCTTAGAACCATTTATTGTTTACCATGAACAAATGTCTGGGATAGGAACGTGGGAAAATCAGGAATACAGTGAATAGGGCTGGATTCAGACATCTCCAGATCAATGCAGCCATGGTGGGAAACAGTCTCAAAGAGAAATAGGGATGAAGAATGTATCTGGGTAACTTGAAAAAGAGATAGCTTTAGAATTCCTTTTAATGAAATTCTTCTTAACTCTTGGTTCTGACTGAGGAAATTAAAAACGATTTACCCATGTAAACATCATGAAAAATATTTTAACTTTTTACTTTTTCTGAGATGCTTATAGGGAAATTTTTACTTGGAATTCAAAGAGCAGAGTCAATGGACTGTTGTGGGATTGATTAAGTCCCCTAAACAAGGCAAGGGGACACCTGGGGTTGTGGGAAGTAGTGCCTGCTATGTGCCAGACAGACATGGTTATCTGGTTTTTTTGGTTTTATTTTTGCAGCACTGTGGTGACGGTGGCTAATGTCCCCTTTTACAGATGAGGAAATGGAAACCCAACATTACAAATGTAATCATTGCTGGAGTAGGGATTGGGCATGTTCTAGAAATCCTTATTTATACTGCAATACAAATCGCCACTAAATTTATACATTCCACAGGAAGTATATAAAAGGTAATGTGTAGGTACAACCATACAGATGGGATGACACAAATAAACATATTTCTATCCCACTGGTATTGGTTGTATCTTTCACATGGATCAACAACCACTTTCAGAAGTGAATGAAAAGTCAGCTTAGCTCAATGTACAGAGTACCCATTTTTAGATTTATTGATTCTCTTTTGAATCACTGGAAAATGGCAGTCATACGAATGCATGCCTGAGTAGCAAGTTTGTTAGTGGCTCAGCCTGTCTCTGGAACAGGACCACTGGCTGTGTGCTCTCAGGCACATCACTGATTCCTCTGGTCCCTGGGTTTCTCATCCTAAACAGAAGGTGTTTGGGCCCAGGTCCTTCCCACCCTACTGATGTAGGATACTTAGGGAAAGTGTCTGTCAGCCCTCAGAGGAGGTGGTAGCCATGAGATCATGGAGGCACCCGCACAGTATGCGTGTGGGCCTGTGGGTGAAGACTCCCTTCCAAAAGCCAGGTCACGTAGGGAAATTCCTTCTGTTCTTTTCTTCAAAGCAACAACTTTTGATTCTTATCTTGGTATTTATAGGATGACTTTCCTCCTATAACAAACACGGTCTTGGAGACAGAATTCTTTTTTTCTGGTATTGCTATTAATAATAACTTCTGTTCTTGATCACTTACTGTGAGCAAAGCTCTGTACCACATGTGCCACATACACCATCCCACACCAGCCCTGCGAGGGAGCGAATTCTATCCCCGCTTACACATGAGGGATGAAAGCCTGGGGTGCCTCGGGCTCTAAAGTTACCAAATGGGATTTGGACTTAGGGCTGACATGAAGTCTGACATTGCCTCACCACCCATCTTGCTTTGTTTCTAAGGTTTTGAAAGGGGTTGGGAGCCAAGTTCCTCTTATGCTCACACTTCAGAAGGGCAGAGAGTCGACTCTGTCTGAGAGGTTTCTGACACAGCCCTCTTTGCTTTGGAGAGCCTGGAAGCTGGCTGTGACATTTTGTACATTTTTTTCTTGATCCATTGAGGACATAAATATTTTCTGTAGAGTGATTGAACCACAGTTTATTTAACCAGTCCCCTGATGGCAGACATTTGGATTATTGCTAATCTTTTGCCATACAACAATGTTGTAATGAATAACCTTACACATGTTATTTTTATGCACACAGGAGTACCTGGGGGTCCATTTCTAGAAGAGGGCTTGCTGAGTTAAGGAGAAATGCATCTGCAGTTTAAGCAGATATATATGTCAGATTCTCCTTTATAGGGATTCAGTCATTTTGAACTCCCCATAGGCCTGCCAAAAGAGGATGACTTCCAATAAGTTGTGATTTTTCCCAATATGACAGATGAATTTTGTTTTAATTTGCATTTCTCCTATTTTGAATAAGCTCAAACATCTTTTCGATGTTTAAGGATTGTCTGTAGTTCTTTTTCTGTGAACTGTCTCTTCACAGCCTTTCAAATTTTCATATATATATATATGTATTTTAAATGTTTATTTATTTGAGGGACAGACATCGAGAGAGAGATAGAGTGTGTGTGTGTGCGCGTGTGTGTGTGTCAGTAGGTGACAGACAGAGAGAGAGGGAGAGAAAGGATCCCAAGAAGGCTCTATGCTCAGCACAGATTCTGATGTGGGCTTGAACTCGTGAACCGTGAGATCATGATCTGAGCTGAAATCAAGAAGTCTGTTGCTTAACTGACTGAACCACCCACATACCCCAAATTTTCAGATATATATATATATCTGTGTGCATATCACATATATATGTATATATATATACACACACACAGATATATATATATACATATATATTTTTTTAAATTTTTTTACATTTATTTATTTTTGAGAGATACAGTGAGACAGAGCATGAGTGGGGAGGGGCAGAGAGAGAAGAAGACACAGAATCTGAAGCAGGCCCCAGGCTCTGAGCAGGCGTTCAGCACAAAGCGTGACGTGGTGCTCAAACCCACAAACCGTGAGATTGTGACCTGAGCCGAAGTCGGACACTTAACCGACTGAGCCACCCAGGCGCCCCTTCAGATATATTTTTTTTTAATTAAAATTTATTTTTATCAAAGTACTATGTGCAGATAGTTAACAAAGAGTCAAGTAGTATTTGAAGACTTATAATAAAAAAATAAAAATTCCTCTTCACCTCCTCTTTCCTTCAGTGTTGTTCACCAAAGGCCACCGTTTTTGATATTTAGCTGTTTCTTCTGGTATTATTTTTCTTTAAAATATACTACTCTTGGGGCGCCTGGGTGGCTTAGTCAGTTAAGCGTCCGACTTTCGCTTAGGTCATGATCTCGCGGTTCGTGGGTTCGAGCCCCGCGTCGGGCTCTGTGCTGATTGCCAGCTCAGAGCCTGGAGCCTGTTTCAGTCTGTGACTCCCTCTCTCTGACCCTCCCCTGTTCACGCTGTCTCTCTCTCTCTCCTAGAAATAAATAAAACATAAAAAAAAAATTTTAAATATACTACTCTTTCTTGATTTCTCAATGTTAGACATCATTTACTAATTTCCTGGTATGTCTGATAAGGACTTAGCACTTACTCCTAGCTCCCTTACCATACACTTACCTTTCCTACAATCTCTCAGTATAATGTTATCACATTTTTCCTGAATAAATTTGTATTAGGAATTTACATGATATCCATGAAAACTTTGTTTCCTATTGAGCCAAGCTGTGTGAAATGATTACACTTTGTTTCTTATAAAGCTTTTTGTCATTCCTAAAGTTAATAATTCATCGTTAATTTTGGGACTATCTTTTGCTCATAGCTTCTCACCATGATTTTTCATGTGGTTTAGTGCATGAAAGAATCTACCAGTTCCATTTCCCCCCAGAATATTCCTCACTGACATTGTTTCATACATGTTCTCTGGACCTGCTGCCCAGCTATTGTCTACCTGCATATGTAACCATGGTGGCTATAAACAGGGACTATATTAGTAACTCAGACAATGTAGTTCCCTTTGGGGGCCTATTTAGAAGTCTTGAGTGGAATGAGGAAGTTGGGAAAATACATAGAGCTGAAGCTGAGAAAAGTGCAAGGGAGAATAAAGCTTAAAAAGTATCTCATGACATATATTAAATGTCAAACAGCCATTGTCAAAGTGTCTGAATATTATCCTGGCAGGAAAATCAAGGAAAGCATAATTTAATATTCATAGTAATTGTTTTTTTAAATGTTGTAAAACTACTAGTGTCTTTTATAAGACTACTAAGAAAGCTTCCATTTGTGTTATGCCTTTGGACATGTCCCCAAATCAAAGTGTTTGGAACTGGCTGTGCATCCTACATGCTGAACCCCATCTCCCAAAGGCTCTCCATCTAAACTAGTGGTTCTCACCATTTTGTGGGGGCAGGAAACAACTCACTGCAGAGATGCCACACTCCATAAGTGATGCTAACCCCTGAGGGCAATCGTGTTGTGATTTCCAGGGGTGGCTGAGGGAAGGAGTGGTGATGTAGGGAGGGATAATCAGGCTCCTCGCAGTCCTACCAGATGACTGGCCTTCCCACGTGAATACAAAAGCTTCCAGGCTGAGGCAGAGTTGATAGCAAGCTCCTTTGTTGCTGCTAATGCTCGAAATCTGCCTGGACCTTGGCTCCTGCTTGTACCTC